CCACCACTTGGGGCAAGTCAGCCTGAGCATGTCCCAAATTATACATCTCTTCCCTCTCCCATTCCCACCACCATGTTCAACAGGGATCACATTTCAGTTAATTTTCAACACTTAAGAATAACTGTGCATCAATTACAGATCTAAACTAGTCATATTAAGTAGAACAGATAAAAAAAACTACTAAGAGGGATAATGTATTAAGTTGTTCATTAACAGTCAGGGCTATGCTGATCAAGCCACCATTTCCCATAGTGTCCACCTCACTCCAACAGGTTTCCCTCTTGGTGTTCAGTCAGTCGTCACCGATCAGGGAGAACATATGGTATTTGTCCCTTTGGGACTGGCTTATTTCACTCAGCATGATGTGTTCCAGATTCCTCCATTTTGTTGCAAATGACTGGATTTCGTTGTTTCTTACTGCGGTATAGTATTCTAAAGAGTACATATCCCATAATTTCTTTATCCAGTCTATCGTTGATGGGCATTTAGGTTGGTTCCAGGTCTTAGCTATTGTGAGTTGAGCTGCAATAAACATTAGGGTGCAGACCGCTTTTTTGTTTGCCAATTTAAATTCCTTTGGGTAAATTCCAAGGAGTTGCACCCTTTTTCTAAAAAATTATAAAGTGAAAGAGAGCTTTTAAGGGCAGCAGGGTCTGTGATGTGTGAAAACTGGGAGAATATTTGATGGTTACCAGGAAATAATTGTTCATTTTTAAGGTGTGATAATGATGTTGCATCTGTGGTTTTTTTTAATGAGTATAGAGCTAGATACCAAAATATTTGCAGATGAAATTATATGATTTTCTTTCCAACTAACCGAGGGAAAGGAGTAGAAGAAGTGAATAGAATTTTAATAGAATGAACATTGGGAATATATTGATAGCAGTGGAAGTGCGTTGATAAATATATAGATTTTGTTATACTTTTCTATCTACTACATCATATGCATTTAGTACCTTCCATAATAAATGGCCTAAAACTAATGAATGTAGAAAAGAGGTGTATACAAACCTTTGTCCCAAACTATCCCATAAAGCTTAATATTCTGAAATTTAAGGTAAAATGAACTCAACACATATCCATTTTATTTTAGAATATGAACTACATTATTTAATAACGTAGTTTAAATTATTCAGTACCAGAATAGACTCTAAAAATAAATGTAGAAATCATTAATTTTAAGTAATTCAAAATTAAAACAATAATGAGCTCCCATCTTGTACTTTCCAAACCAGTAAATCTTTTAAAAAAAAAAAAAGGTAAAATAATAGCAAAAAGATTATGGGGGAAATAGCATATTTATTGCAAATGTAAGTCGATGAGATCTCATTTTTGATGAATTTTAGCAGATTTTGAGCTTACATACATTCACTGTTGAAACATGACAGTTTCAGGTATAGAAAAATACACAATATTTTAAAAGATAACTAAGACTCACAAAAGCCATGACAGATTATATTTCCTCCTGACCTTAAAATGCACTTGAACATATTTTATTTTACAATAATTATGTGTAAATACTCACATATTTCTGGCATGCTCCTTTCCTGAACATAGCATGAATATTTTTCATAACTTTTCATATCCAATAAAGTTTTTATTTTTAATAGCAGCATATCATTCCACCATCTAGTTAACATTCCACTGTTGGACTTAAACTAGCTGCCAAAATTTTGTTATTCAAACTATGGTCTCTCTGACCTTGGCACAGCTGTTGGCTAATTTTTCTGACTATTTCCCCAGGCTAAATACATAGGAGTGAAATTCCTGAACTGGAATATACTAATATTTTTTAAAGCTCTTGATATACATACACTGCCAAATCTGTGTTCTGAATAATTGTGCAGAGGGAATGTGTTATAGAGACACTTCTCAAACAGTGATGTATGCTGTGAAAACATAGATTCTGAGTTAGTCTGTCTGGGGAGGGCCTGAGATTCTACATTTCTACCAGGCTCCCATATATTGTATCAGCAGTATGGAGTAGCAAGGTAATAGAGAGGCTTTAAAAATCTTTTTTATGTAGTTGTTTTTGCTGCTACTTCACTGACACAAAGTGTTATCATTGATTTATCTGTCAATCTGATAAATACAGACACGCGTATATTCATTTTATTTGCATTTATTCGATTGCTAATGATGGTAGACATACATTCTTGGCCATTTTTATTTTTTTTTAAAGGAGTTTATTTCTTTTGTATTGTTGAGTAGTTTTCTATTTTATAGACATTCTTCTATTAAAAAGAAAAGATTTATGAAGTTATTTGAAAGGCAGAGGTACAGAGAGAGAGAGAAAGAAGAGCGTGTGTATTCATTCCACTGGTTCACTCTCCAAACGGCTGCAATAGAGGGGCTGGTCCAGGCTGAAGCTACCAGGAGCCAGGAACTTCATTCAAGTATCCAATGGGAGTGGCAGGGGCCCAAGCAGTTGGGACCTCTTGTGCTAGTTTCCCAGACACATTAACAGGGAGCTGGATTGGAAGCTAAACAACCAGGACTTGAACCAGAACTCCAACATGGGGTATTGGTATTGTAAGCAGCTGCCTAACCAGTTAGGCCAAGCCAGTCCCACACTAAACTTTTTAACACTATTATTGGTGCTATAATTTTTTTCCAAGATCACTACTTCTGTTTGCATTTTTTATTGTTTTCTTACTTAGAGATGTTTTCAATTTTTGTTTTCAGTATGTTTACAATTCCTTCCTTTGCTTTTATGTTTAGAGTATTAAAAGAATGTTTCCCTGTGCATTTTTTATGAAAGTTTTGAAAGTGGGATACTTAATATACTTCCTTATTTAATTACAAAAGTGATCTGTTAATGTGAGAATATGAGCAAGGACCATTGTTAACATTTTACCATAAATTTATCTATATTCATTTGTAAACATTTCCATCTACATGCTTATGTACACATTATTTATATAATTCTTAGAAAAATAGAATGATTTCCAACTTTTTCACTTCATAATATTTCGTAAACAATTGTTCATTATTCAATGCCTATAGTATTCATGGCACCAGCTGTAAGGGGCAACAGTATTCCATCATCTGCATGCACTATCATTTCTTTGACAATTCGTGAATATTCATAGTTTCCAATTTATGAACACGATTTAAAATACAGGGATAAAATAATCACACATGAATCAACATAATAATATATCCTTATACTGCACAACACTTTTCTGGGCACAATTCCAAATGCTTTGCAAATTTTAAGCCATTTTAACCTTCATAAAAATATATAGGCAGGGGGTCAGCAAGTGGCATCCTATTTTGAAGCCCCAGTTCAAGTCCTGGCTGCTCTGCTTCTGGCCCAGCTCCCTGCTAACATGCCTGGGAGAGCAGCAAAAGATGACTCAAGTACTTGAGCCCCTGCAACCCATGTGGGACACCCAGACGGAATTCCTGGGTCCTGGTTTCAGCCTGGCCCAGCCCTGTCCATTGTGGCCATTGAAGGAGTGAACCAACGGGTGGAAGATATCTCTCTCTCCAACTCTTTTGTTACTCTGCCTTTTGAAGAAAATAAATAAAGTCTTTAAAAAAAAAAAGTATAAGGCAGGTATTGCTATTTCCAGCTCAGAAGGGAAACTGAGACACACGATGATCTCCAACCTAACAACAGGCAGGACCAGAATTTGGATTAATGGCATTATCACCACACACGCCCTCTCAATATATGATGATCATTCATCCACTCATTAAAATTAGGACACCAATGTTCATGTGAAGCCATGGTTTTCAGTCTGGTCTGAGGACCAGCAGTGCATTCTGTCTGACTCCACTCAGACTTACTGAACCAGGAGCTTGTTGGTGGGGCCCAGCAGACTGTGTTGTCACATGCCCTCCTGTTGTTCTGGGAGACACTGAGATTTGAAGAAGCCAAGTGGTTGAAACAGCCTTCACCTAAGAAGTCAGAGAACCTGCAGATGCAGGATGCCTTAGATGATTGTTTGAGAGCCTATATCTAAACCCAGGGATATAACAGTCTTCTCATCTACAAAATGGGGACGGGAACCATGGTGTGGGTTGGAGGGCAGTAGATTCAGGAATTTCTGTAGTTCATTTGAGCTCTGCATTTCTGTTTTTTTGTTGTTGTTGTTGTTGTTTTTTGACAGGCAGAGTGGACAGTGAGAAAGAGTGAGACAGAGAGAAAGGTCTTCCTTTTGCTGTTGGTTCACCCTCCAATGGCCACTGCAGCCTGCGCACTGTGGCCAGCGCACCGCGCTGATCCAAAGGCAGGAGCCAGGTGCTTCTCCTGGTCTCCCATGCAGGTGCAGGGCCCAAAGACTTGGGCCATCCTCCACTGCACTCCCGGGCCACAGCAGAGAGCTGCCCTGGAAGAGGGGCAACCGGGACAGAATCCGAAGCCCCGACCGGGACTAGAACCCGGGGTGTCAGCGCCGCAAGGCGGAGGATTAGCCTACTGAACCGCGGCACTGGCTGAGCTCTGCATTTCTATAAGGTCATGAAAACATGGCACAGTCATCCCTAAACGTGATGGTTTGGTTTCAGATATTTCCACTTCACAATCAGGTACAAGCCATAGCGATGCAGTAGAATCCTTACTAGGAAGTTTGATTATTCCTGATCTAGTGATATCTCCAATCCTGTCTGGAAGATGCTGGCAGCCTCCTTGCAGCCCAGCAGTCATGAGGAGAAGCCACCCATGCTGCACAGTGGGCTGCATCCCTGAGCCAGGATGTGCGGGAAGTCGGGTGGACTCAATGCATTTTAGACTTATGATCAATGGTTTCATCAGGATTTAAACCCATTGTAAGTCAAGGAGCATCTGTATCTGATAAAGACAAAATTGTTAAAATTGTGCAAAACTGATTTGTATCAGGGATAGGAGAGGAAATTGAAAGGATGCATACAAATAGAGAGGCAGATATTGTTAACATTCTATCTGTGGTGCTTTAAAGCTCACGCTTGAATCAATTCATTCTTTTAAAATGCTGTCACTGGGTAGCACACTAACACCGCCCTGGTTTCCTTAGGTCTCTGAATTAAGACAACAGCTTCGAATACGGGGCTTGCCCGTGTCAGGCACCAAAACAGCCCTCATGGACAGGCTTCGCCCCTTCCAGGACTGCTCCGGCAACCCTGTGCCCAACTTCGGGGACATAACGACTGTCACTTTCCCTGTCACACCCAACACGTTGCCCAATTACCAATCCTCTCCTTCCACCAGTGCCTTGTCCAATGGCTTCTACCACTTTGGCAGCACCAGCTCCAGCCCCCCCATCTCTCCTGCCTCCTCTGACCTGTCGGTGGCTGGATCCCTACCCGACGCCTTTAACGACGCCTCCCCCTCCTTCCTGCACCCGTCCCCAGTCCATGTCTGCACGGAGGAAAGTCTTATGAGCAGCCTCAATGGGGGCTCTGGGCCTCCGGAGCTGGACGGGCTGGATTCTGAGAAGGACAAGATGCTGGTGGAGAAGCAGAAGGTGATCAATGAGCTCACCTGGAAACTGCAGCAGGAGCAAAGGCAGGTGGAGGAGCTGAGAATGCAACTGCAGAAGCAGAAGAGAAACAACTGTTCTGAGAAGAAGCCGCTGCCTTTCTTGGCTGCCCCCATCAAGCAGGAAGACGCTGTCTCCAGCTGCCCTTTTGCATCCCAACCAGTATCTGTGAAAAGACAAAATAATGGATCGGAGAGTCAACCGCCGGCTTGCGAGACTGCCCAGCTCCTGCCCCTTGGAAACACCCATTGTGTGGAGTCCTCAGGTCAAACCAATGTACTTTCTTCCACGTTTCTCAGCCCCCAGTGCTCCCCTCAGCATTCGCCACTGGGAGTGGTGAAGAGCCCCCAGCACATCAGCCTGCCCCCATCCCCCAACAACCATTACTTCCTCCCGTCATCTTCCGGGGCTCAGGGAGAAGGACACAGGGTCTCCTCGCCCATCAGCAGCCAGGTGTGTTCTGCCCAGGTAAGAATGGCTTGTACCAGGGGCCACTGCCCTCTTCGTTCAGGGAATGTGAAATGGATTCCCTTGGAGATTTCAATGCTAAGGTTTACCAAAAGCCCAGCAGGAAATCCAAACACTCCAAGCCATCACAGCAGACCAAACTCACCTGTCCTCCAAGACAGGGCTTGGCAGGCTTGTTCTGTGAAGGTCTGGATAGTAAATACTTTGGATGTTGTGGGTTATACCATCTGTATCACAACCATTCAACTTTGCTCTTGCATCATGACAGTAGCCATGGACATCTTGTAAATGATACACATGGCTGTGTTCCAATGAATCTTTATTTTCAGAACCAGGCAATGAGCAGGAATTGACTTGTGGGCTGTAATTTACTGACCTGGCTCTCAGGACTCTTGGTATTAAACCTTACCATGGGCCAAACCAATTCATCAGGATGGCCAAAGGAAAAGTACCAAACCATACTCTTCCCCCATGTAATAGTATACACAGTGTATTAACTGAGCACCTACTATGTGCTGGGCCATGACTCTAGCTAGTTTGAACTAGCTAAACAAGTGGTAAGCAAAAATAAAATGCAAATCATGCATTGTATTAAGCAGAGAGGTGTATATGAGGGGTTTGGGAGTTGCAACTTTAAATCGAGGAGCCAGGGACATTTTAGCAAAATGTTGCAAGAGATAAAAGAGAAAACTTAACGAATATTGGGATGAAGGCATTGAAGGCAAAGAAGGAGCATCAAGTGTGAGGGCCCCGAAGTGAGAGTGTGTGGAAAGTTGGAATCAGAAACATGGCCAGTACAGCTGGGACAGAATGAGAGGAGTTGTAGAGATGGCTTACAAGAGTTACTAATTCCAAGACTAGACGAGGGGCTCAGCAAAGACTCCTTGTGTTCATGAAGGTGGAAAATTATAAGGAAAGTCTGTCAGAAGTCAATTTGAGAAAAAAATTAATCAAGGGGTCTTCTAAAAGTTTATGGAAAATGTGTATTATGCAGAAACAAACTATGCATGGGTTTCAAAATATTTTCATTAAAAGAAATGTATCTTTTAATTCCATTTTCCACAATCTTTTTGAACTGTGCTTACGTTATCAAAACCTGAAACCTACATTACCCAGAAAAAAAATTCCTGCCACATTTCAAGTAGCAATGAGATGTAAGTATCTCATTAACGTCACAGTGATCCTGTGTGCTCCAATCTGTTGTTCAATAATTGCCATTGAGGAAAAGGAAGCTGATAGAGGTTAGACCACTTGCCCAGGACCACAGGAACCCAGGGTCTGTTGAGTCTAAAGAACTTGCCCTGTTCACATTGGGTATCTCTACCCTGTCAATATGCACTCAGCTCAAGGTAAAGAAAATGAATGTTAGCAAACCTAGCAGAATAACACATTAAATCAGTGATGCCCACTCCTCTGAGGGTACTCTGGGAAGAGTTGAGACTTAAAGGGGCTATCATCATTGTTAACAAACATGTGTTCAGTGCATAGTATCCTACGCACCAAAGACAAAAACAAAAAAAAAGGGGGGAGGGGGCTCAAGACAAAGTTCTGGGCCATAACTTTCCATTCTGATGATATTGGTGCTATCAAAAAGACCAGCATGTCTACAGTGATTTATGATTTACAAAGATTCTCTGAAGACATTAACAATTCGATGATCGCAAGATGAAGATCAAGATAGGATAACACAACTGCTCTGTACTTAGGACATCAATGCTGCACAAAGTAGGTGGTGGTGAGTCAGGGCACAGATTGATCATAAAGGGCTGGAAATCTCTAGGGAGAGTTTGTAAAGGAAACGGACTGTCCAGGAAGCGCCACATTAAAAAGGAAAGAGAAAGCAGGAAAGGACATTCCACGTGGACAGATTTAGGGGGTAGGATGTTGAGGGATGCTCGTGGTGGGAAGAGTGGAACTGAGGTTTGTAGAAGTGATGGCGCCAGTACCCAGGTTACGAATGGAGACTGCATGCTGTGGATACCCCAGAGCCCTTGGAAGTTGGTGAGTAGTAGGTGATTTGTCCAAACTCAGGTTTAGGCAGGTTCATCTGATAATGGACTTCAGGAAGGTTTGCAAAGGTAAAACACCAGGCACACAGGCCAGGACCACAGAGACCACACACAAGGAAGTGTTCTGCTGCTGGCCATTTAATTTGTCACTTCTGCCTTTCACAGAACTCGGGAGCACACGATGGCCACCCTCCAAGCTTCTCTCCTCAATCTTCCAGCCTTCACCCCTCTTTCCCTGGAGCCCAGGCAGACAGCAGTCACGGTGCTGGAGGCAATGCTTGTCCCAAAAGCCCAGGTGTTCCGCAAAAGGTGGGTACCAGGAATCAGGTTTAAATCTGGGATCCGCTTACCCTCCAAAGTGAATGATGAGATTCAGAGACAGCAGTAAATTTCATTTCAGAAAGAATCAAGTCCACTCAAGGTACATTGAACCAGATGTATCCCTAGGGAGTTATTTTCTGGGGCCAACTCAGAAATCATGATTAAAATGGCCATGGTTTATTTGCAAACCACCGCGGACAACCAGGCAAGTTTTGTGTTGAAGTTTGGAAGAGGGGCACAAGGGATAATAGTGTTGGAGAAAGAAAGAAGCATAGAGTTCCAGGAAAAGGACTGGCGAGGAGCAGAGAGATAAGGTCATAGTGCAGTATCTTTGAGAAAAAGGAAGAGATGACATAAATTGATCGGTAGAAGGAGTCACGAGTGTGAAGGGTCCAGAGATCCCTCCTCCTTGGGGAACTCCAAGGAGCCATGAAGATGTGGCAGGAAAGAGACAGATATAAGCTAGTCATAGCAGGAAAGTGCCACCTGCCACAAGTCACAGAAGGAACAGAGACCTGAACATGGGTAGGGCGCACTTCACACAACACACTTACAGTAGACAAAGCTGGTTCACAAAGAGATCCCAGCGATGTCTCCACTCACAGATACAGCCGCTTCAGACCAAAATGTCCAGAGGATAAATGACTCTGGAAATTCCTGGATGAATGATCTTCTTTGCGTTGGATTGGGCTCTATTTCCTCTGCTCACCTCATTTTCTCCAAACTGCAAAGAGTATACCTTAGAGGGGGATGTACGTCTCCAAGGTGCCCATTAAAAGATGCCTCCAGCAATAAGTTCACAGGATATGCACTACTGTTAATATATTAGAGCTATTTTTTAAGCCCTGACCTTTTTATTTATTTATTTATTTGGTATTAGATCAGTTTTTTCCAAAACCTAGCCTCTAGTTTCTAGAACAGAAGCAGTTAACCATTTCTGATCCACTAATTGAATGCCTCTCTGAATTTTACCCACATACAGATGGCTGGTTTACACTCTTCTGATAAGACGGGGCCAAAGTTTCCAATTCCATCCCCAACTTTTTCTAAGTCAAGTTCAGCAGTTTCAGACATAACACAGCCTCCATCCTATGAAGACGCGGTTAAACAGGTAACCACATGATGTACTCTATATAAAATAGAAGGATTCAATGTATACTGTTTTATATGAGAGCATTTCAAAAAGCTCTTTGAAATGGAATTAAAAGATAAGCTCACAGACAGGCATTTGGCACAATAGGTAAGATGCCCACATCTCATAGCCAAATGCCTTGGGTTTGGTCCTGGCTCAATTCCCAATTCAAGTTTCTTGCTAATGGGCACCCTGATAGGCAGTGGTGATGGCTCAAATTCCTCAGACCCTGCCACCCACGTGGGAGGCCCGGATGGAGTTCTGATGTCCTAGCTTTGAGCTGGCTCAGCCTTGGCTGTTCTGAGCATTTGGAGGAATGAGCCAATAGATGGGAGATCTCTGCCAGTCACTCGCTTTCTCTCTCTCTCTCTCTCTCTCCCTCTCCCTCTCTTCCTCTCCCTCTCTCCCTCTCCCTCTCTCCTTCCCTCCCTCTCCCCCACCTCTCTCTCTCTCTGCCTTTGAAATAAAATAAAAATAAATTTCTAAATGTAGAGAAATTGAAAATTTGTAAAGATAAATTTATTTTGGTGCAAAGAGTTTTTGAAATCCATGCATAGGAGGGCTTTTCAAAAAGTTCATAAAGTGACAATTGTATTATTACAATATAAGATGTTAATGATGGGGAAAACTGGGTATGGGATATATAGGAACTCTTTATACTATTTCACAGATTCTGTCTGGTAAATTTAAAGCTATTCTGAAATTAAAAGTTTATGTAAAACAAAAAATGTGTATTATGAAAAATCTATGCATGGATGTCAAAAGTGTGTCACCAGGCCGGCGCCACGGCTCAGTAGGCTAATCCTGCACCTAGCAGCGCTGGCGCACTGGGTTCTAGTCCCAGTCGGGGCGCCGGATTCTGTCCCGGTTGCCCCTCTTCCAGGCCAGCTCTCTGCTGTGGCCCGGGAAGGCAGTGGAGGATGGCCCAGGTACTTGGGTCCTGCACCCCATGGAAGACCAGGAGAAACACCTGGCTCCTGCCTTCGGATCAGCACAGTGCGCCGGCCGCAGTGCGCCAGCCATGGTGGCCATTGGAGGGTGAACCAAAGGCAAAAGGAAGACCTTTCTCTCTGTCTCTCTCTCTCACTATCCACTCTGCCTGTCAAAAAAAAAAAAAATGTGTCACCAAAGAAAACTATTAGTACCATTTTCCATGATTTTTCATATTATTAAACTTCATGCAGTTTGTAAATCCTGATACTGAGTGTGCCTGGTGTCTATATCGAGCACTGTCTAGATACTAGTTGCTGAGATGCGTTGCAGGTGAATAGAGGCTTTGTGCAACAGGAAGACGGGGTTGGGGGGTTGGACTGGCATTTAGTTTCCTGGTCTTAGTGCCAGCTCTGCCAACCACCCACAGTCACTGACACTAAATAGAGCAAGAACTGAGTTCTTTGCCGTAAAATAGGAACTGTACCTACTTTGTTGGCATTTTAGATAACCTAACACTTACTCTGTTATACAGGCACACAATAGGTACTCAAATACATGAGAGTGATTATCAAGGGAATACTCTCAATAGCTTTTCCTAGCTTTAAAACCTGAAGCACCGGCATCCCATAGAGGCACTGGTTCTAATCCTGGCTGCTCCTCTTCCGATCCAGCTCTCTGCTATGGCCTGGGAAAGCAGTAGAGGATGGCCCAAGTCCTTGGGCCCCTGCACCCAACTGGGAGACCTGGAAGCAGCTCCTGACTCCTGGCTTCTGATTGGCATAGCTCTGGCCATTGTGGCCAGTTGGGGAGTGAACCATCAGATGGAGTGAACCATCTGCCTCTCTTCTCTCTATGTAACTCTGACTTTCAAATAAATAAATAAATCTTTAAAAAAAATTTCAATGACAAAGATTGAGAGGGATTGAAGCTGAGTAACGAATGCACAGAGGTACATTTGTATCTTTTTCTTTGCTTTGTGTTTGCATACTTCAAAATGAAAAAGCAAGAAAAAGGGAAACAATGAATGAGCTTACATTGCAAAGGGTCTGAGCTTGGCTAAGGTATCAGTGAATACTTCAAATGTGCTCAACCCAAAAAAGAACATCAAAGTTGGTTGGCATTCCACAGACCACAATCAACATGCAGCTAGGTTTCATTTGGAATAGAGGGTGTTTTTTTTAAGATTTGATTTATTTATTTGAAAGGTAGAGTTAGAGAGAGAGAGAAAGAGAGAAAAAGAGAGAGAAATCTGCCATCTGCTGGTTCACTCCCCAAATGGCTGCAAAAGCTGGAGCTGAGCCAATCCAAAGCCAGGAGCTTCTTCTGGGTCTCCAACAGGGGCCCAAGCACTTGGGCCATCTTCTACTGCTCTCCTAGGCTGTAGCAAAGAGCTGGACTGAAAGTGGAGCAGCCTGGACTCAAAGCGGCACACATATGGGATAGCAGCACCATAGGCAGTGGCTTAGCCTACTATGCCACAGTGCTGTCCCTAGAGTAGAGTCTTAAGGATCAGGTGATGTTATGCAAAGTGGCTTTCTCATTTCTAAAACCTCAGGGGATCTGCCCAACTCGGGAGCTAATTTTCCGTCAAGCAACAATTGCCTGGAGCGAGGTATCTGCTGCTGCTTTGAGCCCCAGCTACACTCTGCACTCCACCTCTGTTTCCTAGTCTGTACTGGGCTCATTAACAATCCCTGCCAGATCCTGCAGGTAGATGGCACCTTCTAGACTGCTCCATGACTCACTCTTTGAGCAGTGCTCTCATCCGTATTGATTGTTGATGCCTGTAAACACATGGGAATCAATGCCTTTCTTCTCCCCACTCCCTTCCGTGTCTGAAAATATCAGCCAGTTCTTTAATTTCAAAAGAAAAAGGAAAAGGCCCAGGTAAAGGGGACTTCCCAAAGTAAGACTTTACTCAACAACTTAGATTAAACTCAGAGGAAAGGGGTGAGCCCTACAAGTGTCTCCAGGTCCCTGAAGTGGTTGCAATGAGGAACGAAGGAAATAGAAGCAAAGTTATGGGACTGCATCCACAGCAGCCAAACAAGAGGTAGATCCAATTTTCTGTGTGGTAAAATGCCCTGTATCTGGTTGGAAACCTTGCACCTGAACTTAAGCTTAGGTACTCTGGGCTAGTGAGTATTCTACCTTCTTTTACCTTTTCTTGTTGGAGTAGATTATTTCATTCAGTAGTTTACCTGCCTAAGTTTATTCAAATTGATTGATTAATCAAAGTAATCACAATATTAGATGTGGTGGTTCTAAAATCTTTAACCAGGCACCCATTGTGTTCCAGAGCAACGTTATTCACTGTGGTCAAAAGGTGTAAAATACCCAAATGTCTATTAGCAGATGAATGGATATACAAAATGTAGTGCATCCATATAATGGGCTATTATTCAGCCTTAAAAAGGAAGGAAATTCTGACAGATGCTACCACATGAATCAACCTTGAGGACATAATGCTTAGAGAAGTAAGCCAGTCACAAAGGACAAATACTGTTATTTCACTTATATGTGGTTCCTAGAACAGTCCAATTCGTAGAGCGAGAAAGGAGAATGCTAGTTGCCAGGGGTGGGACACAGGTTGGGAAGTTATTGTTTAAAGGGTATAACATTTTGGCTTTGCAAGATGAAGCGTTCTGGAGATGGAAGGTGGTGAGGGTTGACGACAATGCCACAGAACTGTGCACTTTAAAATCATTAATACAGTAAAGTTCCTTGTTATATGTACCATCCCACAACTTAAACAAAAGAACCTTTAACTGAGCCTAATTCAAACACTTGTGGTACTGCTTCTGCTGACGTAGACGTAACCATCTTCTCACTTCTTTGTTCTCTTTGGGTTAATTCCCAATAGCAACTGACTCGGAGTCAGCAGATGGATGAACTTCTGGATGTCCTCATTGAAAGTGGAGGTAAGATTGCCTGGACCTGTCCAGCAGACTGCTTTGCCCTTGCGCATACCCTTGGGATGCACTTGTCGACCAAGGTCAGGTGCACGTTGTCAGTCAGATGCCCAGGTGGTCTGCAGGGAAACAGTCACTTCCCTTAGCTTCCTGTGCACTTCTGGAGCAGATGGAAGAAACACGGTGGATGAGTCCTCACTGCATTCACCTTAGAAGCATTTTTTACCGATTTATCTTAGCAGTTTTCATTTTTCAGCTCAACACCTGTTTTTCTAAATTTTTTCTCTTCCCATATCTTTTTTTTCCCAACTCTCGAATCACAACGTCCCTGTCTTCTTGATAACAAGAAAAAGAGCAAAGCAGATAGTGAAAGATGTGTGCTACCTACTCAAAAGGAAGCTCTATTAGTCATCTTCCACTGGATGGTCCATTCGTGCTTAAATGTTATTCAAACTATCAATACAAAATAATCAGCATGTTCTTTTTGCCTTGTAATCCATTCGTGCATTTATTTAAAAGAACATTATTGAGTGTGTCCCTAGAATTTTAAAACACACAAAAGAATAAGAAGACCTGAGAAAGAAGAGTAGGTAAAAAGAAAAGAGCCCAGGGCTGCATTCTTAAGCAACAACATTTAAAGTTTCAGGAAAGAAGGTAACAAAAAACTTGGCCAGGTATTATACTGCACCAGGCAAATAATATTCCCATCCTTAAGGTCTGGTGAGGGAAATGGACAATGGCAAGTGAATAGATGTTTTTCCATTGTTAACAAAATGATAGGAAAAAAAAAGATGGGTACAGGGACTTCAAAAAGTCCATATGAAATGAAATTTAAAGATGAGTTTAGGGGCCAGCATGGTGGTGCATTGGATTAAGCCATCACTTGCAACACTGGCATCCCATTACCAGAATGCTGGTTTGAGTCTCAGCTACTCTGCTTTTTTTTTTTTTTTTTAAGATTTATTTTATTTATTTGAAAGACAGAATTAGAAAGAGAGGGAGACATAGAGAGATCTTCCATATGCTGGTTTGCTCCCCAAACACTTGCAACAGCAGGGGCTGGGCCAGGCCGAAGCCAGAGGCCAGGGAATTCATCTGGGTCTCCCACATGGGTGCAGAGGCCCAAGCACTTGGGCCATCCTCCACTGCTTTCCCTGGTGCATTAGTAGAGAGCTGGATTGGAAATGGAGCAACCGGAACATAAACCAGCACCCATATGGGATTCCAGTGTTGCAGGCTGCAGCTTAACCCATTACACTACAGCAAGATACCCTACTCTGCTTCCAATCCAGCCTCCTGTTAATGCATCTGGGAAAGCAACAGATGACGGCCCAAGTACTGGGGCCCCTGTCACCCATGGGAGAAAGAAGGATGAAGTTCCTGACTCCCACCTTCAACTAGCCTTGACTGTTGAGGCTATTTGGAGAGAGAAATGGCAGATGGAAAATCTTTCACCCCTCTCTTTATCTCTCTCTCTCTCTCTCTCACTCTCTTTCTCTCTCTCTAGTGAGCTTCTGATATGACTACCACTCACATTTTTAAAGATATATTTTTGTGTAAAGGAGTTAGAAATCCATGCAGATTTTTTTCATAATAGGTGTTTTCTGTAAACTGTTTGAAGACTCCTCTTGTGTGTGATTTCTAATTTCTTTACACCAAAACAAACTTATCTTTTAACTATATTTTCCATGAACTTTTTGATGCACGCTTGCATGTGACAAGGTCAACCAAGGGTGGTGGGAGGTTCAAGGAAAGATGACGAGTTATGACTTAATCATAAATGAATTTAGTTTTCTGTAGGAATATAGTAAGGATTTCTAGGTAGAATTAAATGTCAGTTTTAGACTTGACATCATGTATTTAAAGTGAAACCAGGCAGTTGACGTGTGTAATTTTTCCCTCTTGTCACTCCCAGCTGATCTAGTAATGGTTCAGAGAAAGCAGTTGATGAGGTTCATCCAGCACAAAGTCTTGCCACGGGCATCCAGTGAAAATAGAGAACAGCAAGAGGATGGCAGGTATTTGTAGGAGAGTCACTAGGTGATAGGTTAGAGGTTACAGCTAGGAATGGGAAGAAGTGAAAATCAGAGGGGCTGCTAGTAGAAATTGAGAAAATTGTAGCTTTGGTGGATTGGAATGACTCTTTTTTTAAAAAAAAAAAAGGATTTTATTTATTTATTTGAGAGGTAGAGTTACAGACAGAGAGAGGTAGAGACAGAGAGAAAGATCTTCCATCTGCTGGTTCACTCCCTAAGTGGCTGCAATGGCTGGAGCTGAGCTGATCTAAAACCAGGAGCCAGGAGCTTCTTCCAGGTCTCCCACATGGATGCAGGAGCCCATAGACTTGGACCATCTTCTACTGCTTTCCCAAGCCATAACAAAGAGCTGGATCGGAAGAAGAGCAGCCAGGACACAAACTAATGTCCCCATTCCATGGGGAAAAAGCACCCACTTGGAACGCTGGCACTGCAGGCAGAGGTTTAGCTCATTATGCCACAGAGCCAGCCCCTGGAATGACTCTTAAGTGGCTGAGAAATTATTGCCCTGCAGTACTTCATCAGAGAGCTAGAGAGCAGGGAGATGATGGACCAGGAGAGGAACTCATGCTTGACATTGAGGTTTCAAGGGGGTGCAGCTCTGGGGGATGACCAGGTCGAGGGTATGTGCCACAGCATGGAGACAGAGGAGTCATTGAAATTGAGGAAGAGGCCAAGAAGCCAAGAGGCCAGCACAGATTTCTAAGGATGCAAAGATTGCCCAGGACGAGCATTGAGGTAGAAAAGAGGCAATGAACCAGGGAAGAGTCATCAGCAAATGAGCAGAAGTGACCAGGAGGCTGGGGGTGAGGAGAGCAGCTTGCCCCTCAAAACCAGAGGGGGATTGGGAAAAGAATAGAGAGTAACAATCAGCAGGTGGCAGCAGGCTGGCACTCAATCACTCATTTCCTGTCTCTGAAGTAAATGGGCCCCCGCTGAGGGCAACACAGAGGATGCAGTATCCTCAGGGGCCAGCGAAAGAATGGGGGAAGGAATCATCATGACAGAGTGGGAGCTCCGGAGTGAAGTGGTTTTGGAAAAGACCAAAGGGAGAAGAATGAGGGGTACCTAAAGCAGAGCAGGGAATAGAATGGGTGATGAGCAATGACCAGGGGAGCATGTCCATCTCCATGCCTAAGAGTAACTCATCCCAAAGACTCCTTGTGTATGGCGTGCTCCTTTTGAAGCAGTTTCACAAGGGAGCTTGTGTTTCACCAACAGAAATGCCAGCTGATGCCAGGGAGGACCATTCGTGTCTTCAGAAAGTCCCGAAGATCCCTGGGCCTTCCCGGAGCCCTACTGCTGTCCTCCCCAAGCCCTCGGCTTCCTTCGACCAAGCGTCTTCAGGAGGCCAGCTTGCCTTCGACCACTATGCCACCGACAACGACGAGCACCTTGAAGTCTTACTCAATTCCCAGAGCCCCTTAGGAAAGGTGAGCGATGTGGCACTTCTGAAAATCGGGGGTGAGGAGGCTCCTTTTGATGGCATCACGGATGGATTCTCTGGGAAGGCTGCCGAAGACCTCTTCAATGCCCACGAGATCTTGCCAGGCCCCCTCTCCCCAATGCAGACGCAGTTTTCACCCTCTTCTGTGGACAGTAATGGGCTGCAGTTAAGTTTCACTGAATCTCCTTGGGAAACCATGGAGTGGCTGGACCTGACTCCACCCAGTTCCACACCGGGTTATAGCTCCCTTGCCACCAGTGGCCCCAGCATCTTTAACATCGACTTCCTGGATGTCACGGATCTCAATTTGAATTCCCCTATGGACCTTCACTTGCAGCAGTGGTAGATGGCCTGATGCAGCCATGCTCAGAAAAACCCATTCCACGGGGAAAAAGCACACTACCATAAATTCTCATGTTACCCCCGCCCCCAGATACAAAGAAGAAGAAGGGAATTAAAAAGAAGCACGGAGACTTCTATGACAAGCAACAAGAACACACAGGGGTCATTTTTCCAAGAAAAAAAAATATATAAAATGTCATATTTACCAGCATTCAGTAACTGTCAATGATGTCAATAATGCATTCAACAACAAGCTTTCTCAGATTATGGATGCCAAAAAGTAATTCTTTCACTGCCTTTTCAAATATCCATATTTTTTCTAGCCCATAATTTTTATCAGGCATTGTTGGGGCATAAACTCATACTATAAGCTTTCCTCATTAATTTACTGTGGAAAGAAAACAAAGTCTTTTGGGAGAAAAGGGAAGGACATGCTCATAATTGAGGCAGTGTCCTGTGTCTCCGTTTTCTGTCTTTCAGAAGAGAAGCCAGGTTCAACTTCAGTGAGGGAGAGTTTGAGGAAGAACAGGAGGACAGAATCTACCCATTCCCAGGAAATCAAAAATCAACTCGATGTCCCTCTACCCACAACTGCCCCATTGGAGTAGTTCCCATCCTGTACTAGGACTCTTTGTGGTCACTTGGCACAACTCATCTGTGTTTGGTCTGGAGATTTCCACCCAAAACTTTCCTCCATTTCAACCAGTAGCCCAGTCATTCCCGCCTTCTCTTTGCTGATAATCCTTGTGTATTAGCTGAGAACCTTGAAGCAAGAAAACCTCTTGCCTGGAAGGGGTTCCTCAGGTTCTCCACACAATTGGCTTTTGATCCAAAGACCAAAGATGACCACATGAGCGGGAAGCCTTAACAGGGATGATTCAGACAAGCATAGAGAGCAATGTTGCTTCCCGTGCCCCAGGAATAAACACCAAGGGTTACCATATCAGGACTATTACTTATGAAGGTCCAACTTCTATTTTTGCTTTGTTATGGAAGGAAGGGTCCACCTTCATTTATCTCTCTCCTATTCCACTTTTATTTCCTTTTTTCCAAGATGCTAATCATTTTTCTCCTCTTTTGTCAGCCCCTCCTTTTCTGTCCCAACATTGGGAGGGGATGACTTCTCAACTTTAGTGAGCTGCCTTTCTCCTAACTAAGCCATTTTTTAAAAAGCTAAAAGTCCAGGTTGTCCTGCAGAACTCATTCTGCATATGCATAGTTGAAAGAGTTTCCTTAGGAAGAAATGGATGACTTGGCCCAACAAGTCACCAAGTTCATTATACTCTCATTGGATGTATGAGTAATCATTGATTGGTGTTCCTCTGGGGAAATTGGAAATCTTATATTGCCAGGATAAATATGGGTGACATTTACTGGAGAGAGTATTTCAGGTCCGGGGTTCTGAAAGAAAGCACAACTGCCCACTGAAAAACAATGGCAGGCAAAAAGACATGGTCCAACGTGCATTCCTTATCATCTCTCATGCTTTGGCTGGGAGTTTAAGAAACTCAACTTGCAAGACAGTCTCCACAGGGCTCACTGTGGCTCCAATTCACCATTTTATAGTGTTACACGCTGTAGAAAGTAGCTGTTGCTGTTGTTGTTGTTGTTGTTTTAATTTAAATCACTGAGGCACTGTTTTCTTGTGTAAAAAAAAAGTGTTCACTGTGCACTTATAGAGAAAAGTAATCAAAAATGTTGTGATTTTAGAAGCTCTCATTTTGATAAACCAAAGATTTAGAAGTCATTCCATTGTTAACTTGTAAAAATGTGTGAACACAAAGTGTTTTTGGTGACTGCTACTCTGAAAGCTGCCAGAAGTTGGCGGGAAGGAGACAAATATACACACAGACACATGTGTATAGTTATATACGTTTGTGTATATTATATGTGTGTATACACACGTACATATATGTGTATACATACATACACACACAACGTGTGTGTGCAAGTATCTTGCAAAGCAGTGTTGCAGAGTTCTATACCAAAAGCCTTTAACCCTTAACATGCTGTGAATGATACCTGGCCTTTCTCACTACAACTTCCTGATTAATCTACCAGACCACACGTTGCCTCTCTGTGTATGACTCATGGCTCCAGCCCGATGACTCACAGCCACTTGCTTCCCATGAACAAGCTCATCTTGGCAGTGAATACGGATGTGAAAAGACAGAAAGTCTTCACCATTAGTAGCTGGAAATGGTAATATGCCTCTTGTTGAAGAGCACAAAAGGAACATGAAAATCATTTTACATTCCTTGATCTGCATTGTGCTTTGAAAGATCCACATGGCAAATCTCCTACTTTGCTTTTTATGTCAGTTATCAGAACCAAAAGCCTAGAGGGAAAAATTACAGGCATTTTCTTTGCAGATGAAGCTATGGTGAAAGAAAACCTTAACACATTCCACACGTTGGTTTATTCTGCCGATGTTGATATGTTTTTTGGGTGTTGACAAAGCTTGTGATCAGTATGCTTTTCAGGTGCCATGTTTTGTTATTTGTATGTTATTCCTCCCTCCCCCTTACTTCCTTTGGAAAACAAATTCACCTCCTACCCTATATCTCAGAATTAATCTTCTGAGGCCCTGCTCTGAGTATTAATTGTTTTCTCCTTTGAGTATTTCTATCTGAAGGACTAGACCTGGTTAGGAGGCATCTGTATTGGCGAGATTGTGCGTTTTTGTTGGGATTTTAAGAGGATGTTACCTAGGACTGATGTATCTGCCTCGCAGTAGACAAAAGACAAGCTGGCTCCTACTTCTATTGCAACCCAGCACAGTTCAAAGAGCAGATCCCAGAATAACTGGGCTCAGTCTCCCCCCACAGTCTTCATTCCCTTCATTCACCCTGTCTCTTTGTAGGTCATTTGTGACACTAGGGGTGGGGGTGGGGGGACTGTAGACAATTAAGAGAAAATTGATGAAGCTGGCTTCTATTGGATCAGATATGTTAACTCATCTGTTTCCTATTGGAGATATTTATGTCAAGTTCTTTTAAACTCAGTTATGTTCTCTTGTTGGATGAGTGTAACTAGCAGTTGTATGGAGATGGATGAAGAAGTGGCCACATTCAAGTTTCGTAAAGTTCTTAGAACCTGAAGGCAACCACATGTAGTTTTCTTAACACTGCTTGAGCAACCAGGGTGATGCAAATCTGCAGACATTTGCAACCATTCCAATGTTGCTGCAACCCAGTAAATCCATACTTAGCCAATGGAGTCAGAAAATTCATTTGTGAAGGCACTTTCAGTAACCCAATGCTCATTATTACAGTTCCTGCTTCTAAGGATGATGTTGAGACAACACACATTCTATTATAAGGAAGAGCAAGCGAGAAAGAGAGGGAGGAAGAGAAGGAGGGGGAAAGAGGGATGAAAGGAAAGATGGCAGGAAGGAAGGAAGAGAGGAAGGAAGGAAGAGGAAGGAAGGAAAGAGGGAGGGAGGGAAGGAAAGAAGGGAGGGAGGAAGGGAAGGAGGAAAGGGACCTCTCAGTTTAGCTAAGTTGTCACATTATGAAAAGTGAATCACAACTTTGTGAAGAGTAAGTTTATAAAGATACCCATTCTTAACAATACAGTGATTGCACCAGTAAGTGAGGAAACAGACAGCCCTCACCTGAAGAGCCAATAGTCTGTGAACTGATAGGCTTCTGCCTTTCAAACATATTTATTTCTAGTCAGGTGGGAAAAATAGAATCAGTAAAACGTATCCCAGTCATTTGAGACAACCCTTTTAAATCCCATCAGATGAGCTCTTGCAGAAACTGATTCTGGCCTGGTTGAAAACTCCCACATCAGATGTACTCATCCAGTGGATAGTTATTTGATGCCTGCCATGTGCACAGCATGCAAATCTTCAGCTATCCAATACTGAATGGATTCAGTACAGACTGTTCAGATTTTGAATGATTGAGGAGTTGTAGTTCCCTTAAGCAAGAACATTAGGAATCGCCCAGTTCTCAAACTAGAAACCTTTTTGCTGTGCTTAAAAGGGATCTTGGTTGTTTCCAAAGAGATTGGAGGACTCTTTCTAGCTAAAAGCTATCTCCTACACTGATTTGTGTCTCCTTATCTGGGGTCCAGTGGCAGTATCACTTGGAGATTGTCTGTCATCATGCAAAACGGCTGTGACTTGTAGAATTCGTTTTGGTGGATGGGCACAGAAGTCCCTTGAAATTGGAAAAAGGGTAGAGGAAAGCATCTTTTGTCCCTACCCTATTCTCAGTCATCATAACAAGCTCTCTAAGGGAGAACAGGGTGTCCCTAGTGGGCCTCCGTCCCCTGAGAGAAACATAAAAAGGGTTATGAAGGCAATTTGGTCTCTGCAACATTCCTTGCAGTGGGAAACCCACAGTGTGCTAGTAGATACAAGAAAACTTAGAGCAGAAAGTCCGAGGTCTTCATTTTCCCATAAATCCAATATAAGGTGGCTCAGATGCTGAAAGTGCTCCTGCTCTATTAGGTAGATGAAATTAACAGACACAGATTCTTGTGTCCAGGTTTGGAACAAGATGGTCTTACTGTGCTGAGGGCTGGTCAGTTGTGGTAAGGAGCTGAATTTGATCCTAGAGTCTACATTTTTAGAGCAGCCCTGGCTGGGCTGAGATTGTCCATTGGGAGATAAGTGAGAAGAATTTACTTGTAATGTGCCAAGGAAATTGTAATAGGACTCATTGGATTCAGTAATGCTGAAGTTCCCTTCTGATTCTAGGATTTGGTGGTTTTTCTCTATGGGTTAAGACAAGCCAACCCCTGAATGACTCCTGTGCTCATTTTAATCACCTGCTCCCAACATGGACACTGGTAGCATGCATTTCCTATCAATGCTTTAGCAGCTCCTAAGCATTTATGGAAAAAGGGAGGATGGGGGGGGAGGGGATCCTGGAATCAAACTTAATGTTTTCCAAAGGAACAGAGCCCACACTGCTCCCCAGAGTTCCTTTCCAATGGCCCTGCAAGGAGGAAGGAGGGCAGTGGATCACTGCTGGGTGTTTAAAATCCTCCCTTCGTGAAACACAAAGAGGCACCTTGTAAAGGACAAAAGACCAAGCACACATTCTCTGTGGGCACAGCATGGTGGTGTTTTCACCTTGGTCTCCTTGCTCAACTCTACATAAATCAGAAAGCAATGTGGGTTATAAGGAAGAAAAAAGAAGCAATGGCTAAAATACCAAAGTTGGCATGTGTTCTTTCTTTTTTTTAAAAAAAAGCATATATTTTTAAATAAAATGTTTATTTTAAAAAGAGATGCAAGCCTTTTTTCTTGACCCTATGAGGGACTCAGGCCTGTGCCATTGGTTTTCCATGTGTTGTCTCCCTGAATCCTCCCAACAGCCCTGGGAAGTTGTACCATTATTATCCCCATAGTAAATTTTTTTCAATTATACAATGAAAAAAAAAAATGACAGGACCAAGAATGAAACCCCACCTTGAAACCCCCTGATCTTAAGCTTTGCATATGTGCTGCCTTGTATACTAATAAAATGAGGCCTTTTGTAAAACCTTCTCTAATTACATATATGTCCATGAAAATACACATGTGCACACACACCCCGCTTAGCCAATCCAATGATTTCATAAGCTTGTTAACTTAGAGCCAAATGAAAAATAATGTAGAATAAATTTGGCATCAAGTTGGCCTACAAGGTGCTCATATGTCTAATCCTCTTGAGGAAGTCATAACTTTTATCTGATTTTCTCCTAGATTTTTTTACACTCATCATTTTCTCATCAGTGAATATATAATCCACATAGAAGCATGATGGTCTTGGATAAGAAATGGGGGTCTTGGCCAACGCTGTGGCTCAATAGGCTAATCCTCCACCTGCGGCACCGGCACACCGGGTTCTAGTCCTGGTCAGGGCGCCAGATTCTGTCCCGGTTGCCCCTCTTCCAGGCCAGCTCTCTGCTGTGGCCCGGGAGTGCAGTGAAGGATGGCCCAAGTCCTTGGGCCCTGCACCCGCGTGGGAGACCAGGAGAAGCACCTGGCTCCTGGCTTCGGATCAGCGTGGTACACCGGCTACAGCAGCCACGGGGGGCTGAACCAACGGAAAAGGAAGACCTTTCTGTCTCTCTCTCTCTCTCACTGTCCACTCTGCCTGTCCAAAAATAAAAAAATAAAAAGAAATAGGGGTCTCAAGCCCTGGTTTGGATGAGTAATGATCCTTCTCCCTATCATGGTTCTCTCTTCCTCTGCATTGTTCTTACTTCCGTGAGTTCTTCCCAGATAGAAATTGCAAGGTCACAGGTTGCCAGTGGCCCAAGGATAGCAATTCCAACATCAACAGAGTTTCTCTTTCCTAAGAATCCCAGCATAAATCTCACAGCTGACTTTAAGTGCAGACATAGTCATGACCGGATATCCCTGAACCCTTCTCTGTAGACATGAGAAGGAGGTACAACCTCATTCACAGGGTCTGGTGCCCTGCTCAGCTCTGAGCTGTGGAGTGGCATCTTTGAATCTCATGGACTGACAGTGGCAAATGTAAGGTTTTCTGGGGGGAAAACTGGAGAGCTGTTACCAAATGGGAGGATGGACACCAAAAAGGCAGAAATAGTAGGTTTCTACTATATAATCCCTGCTTTCAAGAAATTTGTCCTCTACAGATGACACAAATAATAAATATGGAGTACCATCTAGTCCAATAAGTGTATGCCATGTGCTACTGGAAGAGCATTAATAAAATCTTCTTTAAGATGCATTTTGTTGGGGGCTGTGACGGCATTGTGACACAGTGGGTAAAGTTGCTGCCTGCAGTGCCAGCATCCCATATGGGCGCTGGTTCGAGTCCCGACTACTCTACTTCTGATTCAGCTCTCTGCTATGGCCTGGGAAAGCAGTAGAAGATGGCCCAAGTCCTTGGGCCTCTGCACCCAAGTGGGAGACCCAGAAAAGCTCCTGGCTCTTGGCTTCGGATCAGCTCATCTCTGGCCACTGCGGTCATTTGGGGAGTGGACCAGCAGATGGAAGACCTCTCTCTCTTTGGCTGCCTTGCTTTTCAAATAAATAAATAAATATTTTAAAAAATATTTTATTTACTTGAAAGGTAGAGTTACAGATAGAGGGAGAGACAGGAAGAGAAAGAGATAGAAAACCATCCACTGGTTCACTTCCCAAATGGCCGCAATGGCAGGGGTTGGGCCATCTTGAAGCCGGGAGTCTGGAACTCCATCCGAGTCTGCCACATGGGTGCTAAGGGGTCCAAGTACTGAGGCCATTTTCTGTTGCTCTCCTGTGTGAATTAGCAGGGAACTAGATTCAAAGTGGAGCAGCCAGGACTCAGTTGAACCAGCACTCACAAGGGAAGCCGGCATTGCAGACCGTAGCTGAACCACTGCACCACAATGCTGATCCCATTAATGAAAGTCTTGGTGGTGGAAAGAGAAGCTGGGCAGGAAGGACTCTCCTTAGAGGGAGATCACTAAGGGAAGGTATTAAGAACATAGACTTTGGCAAGCAAACAGCTGAGTGAAAGATTATTCCAGGCAGAGGGTGCAGCCTAAGCAAAGGCTTGGAGATAAAAGAGAATTTAGCACATTTAAGGAACGTGAGAAGCTAGCATGGCATGGAGTAGAGTGAGGGGGTGGAAATGCAGAAGGGAAAATAAGAAAAAGTTGGGAGCTGTGTTGGTTTGCTAGGGTTGACATAAGAAAGCACCACAATCGGGGTGACGTCAGCAATGGAAACTTGCTGTCTCACAGCTCTGGAGACTGGAAGTTTGAAAGGGGGGTGTTGGCAGGGTGAGTTCCTCCTGAGAGAAGTGAAGGATCTGCTCCCAGCCTGTCTCTTTGGCTGGTAGACATCCATCTTTGCATTCACCTAGTGGTTTCCCTACATCTTCACACCATGTTCCCTCTGCATGGGTCAGTGTTTGTGGCCAAGTTTCCTCTTTTCACCAGGGCACCAGTCCTGTTGGATTAGGGCCACTCTAATGACCTTACTTGAACTTGGATTGCCTCTGTGAGAACGCCCTGTTGAGAAAGTCACCTTCTGAGGTGCTCATGGGTTGGGTAGGGTTTCAACTTGCCAATTTTGAAGGGACATAGTTCAGCCCACAATATGGGGCAAGCCAAGGCCAAATCACAAAGGCCTCATTAGACATTTTGAAGGATAGGCAGTTATCTTTAATAATAAATAATAATATAATTTAATAATAAAAGGCATCATGGAAGAGTTTAAGCAAAAATAAATAAATAACAAAAAAAGTAGGTAAAAATCTTCACACTTCAGAAAAGTATCTCTGGGGCCAGTGTGGTGGTGTAATGATTTAAACTACCACTTATGATGCCAGGATCTCATATCCAAGTTCCAGTTTAAGTCCCACTTACTCTATCTCTGATCTAGATCCCTGCTGATGCACCTGGAAAAGCAGGATGGTGGCCCAAGCTCCTGGGACCCTGCCCCCGACGTGGGAGACCCAAATAGAATTCCTGACTCTGGCTTCAGCCTGATTGAGCCCTGGTTGCTGCAATCATGTGGGGAGCTAACCAGCAGATAGAAGATCTCTCTGTGTGTCTCTGTCTCTCAAGTAAATAAATAAATATTTTATTAACACATAAAAATATGTCTTTAGCTATGATGCAGATTGGAGTGGCAAGGGCAGCCTGGTTCATGTTGTGAATTAATTTGATACATCATTGATGCAATCTTAATTCTACAGACTGGAGAACTTAAAGTAACCCAGAATATTGGATTTTATATCTGCAAAAAAGATAGTGTTGGCAATGGGAGAAGAGGATGGGTAAGTATCAGAATGAAGGTAGTGGCCTAAGGGCATCTTTAGCAGGCAACTGAAGAGTTGCCTATCACCAAGAGTGGCAGGGAAAGTGTAAAATTATCTCCTAGCATTTGTGCAAAGCACAAACTAGAGACATGCAGAAGAGAAATGCATGAGAAAAGCCTTGGGGTTTGTCATGAGGGTGCACTCAACAGTGACCAACGCAAGCTGACATCCAGGAACCGAATGGATACCCAGGCTTCTGAGCAGGTGATGGCAGAGAAGAATAACCCAGTGTTGGCGCTCAGCTCCCTCCACCCTACCCTCCAGTCACAGTTCTTACACCCACTCCCTGAGAGAACCAAGTCCCAGCCAGCTGGCATGATCTGCCTGCAATACACGCCTTTGTGAATTTCTCGAATAAAACACTGCTATAGACCAGGGGAGTATGTGGGAAAGGAAGATGTGTGCAGAACAGGAAAAAAAAAATAAATAAAAGCCCCAGAGCAGCTCAGCAGATGTAAAAGTATTCTCAAGGTAGACGATGATGTATTTGAGAAAGATATTCAAGAGACAGCAACTGTGCTGGTAGTCCAAATCCTGCCAAGAGAAAGTGGAAAGTGCAGTGCGATTGAAAAAGATTGCATGGAAATGGAGGCTGAGATGAAGAGAAACAGAAAGACTCCTCTGGACAAGCAGTCTGGATGAACCGGAGGCAAAGAGAAAGGCCGAAGGCAAAGGCAGAGAAAGAAAGGGAGACAATCAAAGCTAAGGCAGTAAAGGCAGCAGAAGATTTGGCCTGTAGACCCTGACACACATGAGACAGGTTACACAGCACAGATGTTTAGTTACGATTCATTGACCTCAGCTCCCAACAAATGAAAACTCTTCGTTTTCTCATTTTAACTTTTTTGTTTTTTTTGACAGGCAGAGTGGACAGTGAGAGAGACAGAGAGAAAGGTCTTCCTTTGCCATTGGTTCACCCTCCAATGGCCGCTGTAGCCAGCACACTGCACTGATCCGAAGCCAGGAGCCAGGTACTTATCCTGGCCTCCCACGCGGGTGCAGGGCCCAAGCACTTGGGCCATCCTCCACTGCACTCCCTGGCCACAGCAGAGAGCTGGCCTGGAAGAGGGGCAACAGGGACAGAATCCGGCGCCCCGACCGGGACTAGAACCCGCTGTGCCGGCGCCGCAAGGCGAAGGATTAGCCTAGTGAGCTGCGGCGCTGGCCTCTCATTTTAACTTGACCATTTTCCCCGCTCCTGTTCAAACCCAACATAACTCCTCAAGTTTGTGTAGGGAGCTTAAATAAAATAGTTTGATGAACGAAAGCTATGTTGATGTTTTCATTAGATCCAGGTATCATCAAACATCAAGATTCTGTCAGGTGTTAACATCTCTAATCTGCAGGAGATTATAGCTAGTAATGGATATACTGACAAATATGGTTTTTTTTTTTAAAAAAAGCTATTACATAATCGTATCATTGAAGAATGTAACATCAGTGGGTCTTATAAATAGTACTTG